AGCATCTGCTGAGGAACTTGTCATATCATCCCTTGGCAGAAAAGCAAAGAGGGCAAGAGAAAAGAGGGCAGCAAACCCATCCTCTTATAAGAAACCCACTCATAAGATAACCTACCCACTCCTGTGGTTAACAGCATTAATCTCTTCATGAGGTTAAAGCCCTCATGATCTATGTGCCTCTTATAGGTCCCACCTACCACACAGTACTAGGGGCCGTGTTTCCAACACATGAATTTTAGGGCAGACATTCAAACTACAACAGTAACAACATCTGATCTAAATCAAATTTGCAAATTCTACTTCTTTTTTTTAAGGGACAAGGTCTTGCTCTGTCAGCCAGGCTGGAGTGGGATGGCGTAATCACAGCTCACTGCACCCTGAACTTCTGAGCTCAAACAATCCACCTGCCACGGTCTCTTTACATACAACTATGTGACACCACGCACATCTAATTTATCATTTTCATTTTGTAGAGATAGGGGTCTATGTTTCCCAGGCTGGCCTTGAACGCCTGGCCTCAACTGATCCTTCCAATCCTTCCTCCTCGGCCTCCAAAAGTGCTGTAATTACAGTCATGAGCCAACACCTAGCACTATGATTTAAGAATAAATAGTAGAACATCACTGGTAGATATTTATATCACATTCACAACTAATTTTTCAAAGACCAGAGGCTGTAAAAAATATTCTATTATTGGTTGACCACACTTTACCGTGTGACTTTATAAGACAAATTCTAACCATTTCAATGTTCTAGAAATTTCTAGAACTATAATTAGCTGCTACTTGAAAAAAGTTTTTTTAGAATTATCTAATTTGGTATATTTTTTCTCAAAAGTCTAATGAAAAAGTCCTTCCTCATTGTTCAACTGATGCCTGCTTTAGCATTCTTTTCCTCCCTGGTTTTGTTTTTCCCAATTTGTAAAATACTCTTTACCTTGCCTTGTCACTATTATGCTTTCTCTCCTTGCTTTGTGCTTTACAAATGTATAATCTATGTTCTACCACTATGCATGTAATACTGATACTTTCAAGCTGATTTGATAAGACAAATAATCTTATGCTTAAAAAAGCAGAGGCACCGTGTTATTTTTTTTTCATATATGAGGAAGCACCTAAGTTATTTAGCAGAAGCTAAAACATTTGTCATTAGGTCACACAATCACAGTGAACGAATACGTGAGTCCTACTGCAAATGTCTGTGAACTGTTTTCCCTCTGTCTCCACCCATGTATTTTTTTAAAGCCATCTGGGAAGAAAGCACTAAAGAAGCCATCATTAAAATAAATTTAATTAAGGGTTAGGTATTATTTGTGAATATAATTAAATATTATTCTGCATAAACAGATGAAATGCTGAGGTGGACAAGTAGGAAAAGAGAGGAGAAAGAAGGAATCAATCTTTTATAAACAGCAAATCTGTGAGCTGATCAGGAAAAGATACAGAATATTTTTTCAGTTCTATTGAGCTATTTTCTAGGAAAGTTTGAACAATAGCATATCACTGGATCTCAAACCCTACCCTCTCATCATCAATAATTATAAATGACGACCTTTAGGACAGTGTACTTTTAGAAAGCAAAGTGCTACAGATGGTCAACTTGAATTAGAAGGCTAACTCTGCCATTTATTACCTCTGATCTATACAAGAGGGATAATAAAAGCACCTGTTTCATCGACTATTAAATGAGACAATCCACGTCAACTGCTAACTTTAAATTCCTGATACTGACACAATATAAGTAAAATGTTAGGTGCTTATCATTACTATGACCACTGTGAATAAAGCATTTTGTTCAGGCCCCACAGAGAACTGATCTTATCATTTCTCTACTTGAAATCCTACATTAGCTTTCCACGACCTCTATAACTAACTACAAATGCTTTACCATAAGGTAAGGTTCTCCCCAAATCATCTCTCACCATTGTGCCTTTTCTATTCTAAACAAAGCCCCGTTAGACTTTGGTTCCTCAAATACACCATAATCTCTTGCTTGCCTCCAAGCCTTTCCATATGAAGTTCATTTGCATGAAACATGTATCCCTCCCTCCCTTCAATGTGAAAACATTGCTTCTTCTACATAGTTAGAGGCTTTCCCAACACACAGACTAGTCTAGATCAATCAACTTAACGTTCATGGCGATATCTTGCAGCCAGAATGTGTCAAAACTGAGGATGAAAGCCAACATGCCGAGCCTGGACTGTGAGAAGAATAAAAAGGGCCTCTCACTGCTTACTCTATACTGCTTGTTATATTAGCAGTAAGAATACTCAAGATTTAAGCTGGTCATGGACAAACGACAAGTCTTGGGCCAAATCCAGGCAGATGCCCGTTTTTATAAACACAACTTCATTGGAATACAGCCTGCCTCTTAGTTTAATTCAATATTATTTATAGTTGCAAAGTTCTATAATTGCAACAAAGACAACATGGCCCAGAAAGCATAAATTATTTACTATATCACCCTTTACAAAAAAGTTTGCTGATCCTTGGTTTAAGCTCTTATTAGTTAGGTTTTGTTACTTATGACCAAAACTATCTTAATTGATAACAAGATTTCCATAGCTTGTTTTACTTATCCTACTAGAAACATTCATCTAATTTCACTGTAATATTTGCATATCTTCCCTCTTATAAATGTTTATTTTTGAACTTCCATGAAAGCAGCAACTAGTACAACTAGTACTGGCACTAACATTGTATCACTATAACTTAAAGTAGTACCTGACAAATAAAAGGGATCTACATATTGTTGACTGAACAAGTAAAACATATGAATAAATGCTTATATTTGCTAAATAATCAATATATATTTATTAACAACTAACATGTATACCACGTATTAGATTCTCTGAGTGATACAAGAGTCTAAGTCCAGAATGGCTCAAAATCAGGTTTAGGAACTAAGCATGTAACCTTTACAAAACAGTAATAAATTATTCCTGGAACAAAACAGGATTCATCTGTACATACATAAATACTACCAAAGTAAACACATACATTGATTTTTTTAAAAATCCTGATTTTAGAGCATACCAAATAGGTAGGAATTTGTGTACTCAGCACTAACTTTAACACAACACCCTGCGTCACTATGGTCCACTCCAATCATGATACAGACTGCACAAACCTGTCTGGCATCAGTCCCCAGGGCCCTTCAATTAATAGCTCTTGTTTTGACTTTGTTCGTTACCTTTATTGAAATTAATCTTATAAAATAACGACAAATACAACATTATTATCTTGTGAACCTGCGATCTAGGCATCAGTCCACTAGGACACAATTGACTCTGAGTGATGAATGAGCCTAACCTATAAAGCCGCCTAGACTTTCAAGATTAATGTCACCTTTCTTGAAACCATCAGATCTCCCTGTTTTATTCACGCTCTCATTTTCTTACCTTTAAAAACCTCCAAATAATGTTTTACATAAGATCAATTTATTATGTATTATTCTAGACAAGTAAAATTGGTGAGGTAGAAAACAAACATTTAATGACCATAAAACTCATAGTCACACTTCACAAAACAATATAATATCTAAAAACTAAACCAAAAGAAGAAAAAAATCAAAAAGGAACCAAAAAGCACGGTAGCTCCTTGTGATATATTTTATTCCTCCTCTTACTCCCTATTTTCCAGGCTCAGAACTCTGTCTACAGCCTCCCTTCAAATCTATCATCCTCTGACTTTCTCCCTTCACCAAGAGTTTTCCCCATACCCTTCCCGGCTCTCATTCTATTCCACCAACTCTGGCTAACTCAGTCTCCCTCTCCTTATAGCCAGATGTCCAATCCCTATCTCCCCTCCTATGACATTTTAGAACTCAGAATTTTGCAGGAATACAGCTGTTCAATGTACATTAACAGTTGTGGGGTGTCTGAGAGAAAAAGGGGATAGAATGTTATCTCCATCCAAATTCCAACACAAATTTAACATTTCAAAGGATATTTAAAAGCCAACAATCTCTGCAGGTTTATATAACATCATTATAAATTTGGAAATAAAAAAATAAACATACAGACAACTGTGGAAGAAAAAGGGATGAGAGAAGAGTTTTATAACATTTCATAAAATAAATAATTCCTCTTAGAATCAAGATCTCAGGAAACTATACTGACAATCCTGGTCAATTCTTAAATTTAAAACTGATACATTGAAGATAAACACTTTTAGATTAATGTATAAAGTAAACATACATAAAATGTTGAAAGACTGACAAAGGGGGATAAATTCCAAGAATAAAAGACCCCTATGCCAATTTTGAATGAAACAATAAGATGCTGTAAATTTAAGCTGCTAAATAAGATTGTTTCATTTTAATATCTTCTAATTTGATTAACACCTATGAGTGGATTTCAACTTCCAATGGATAGAACTAGAATCACTGTTATAATAATATCACTTCTAGAAAATTGACAAAAAATAAATTCTGGACCTCATCAGCTGATACAGTCATTCTAACACACACATGTACCGTACCACACTATTGCTGAAGCCCCATTCTACACTGAAAGAGGCTTGACCAATAATAAATCACATTTCCTTTCCCTTGTTTCAAATTTACCCTTTTTTCATAACTGCTTTACAATAAGCTGAAAGACATCTATAATCACTAAGTAGTCTTCAAATTTTAAATTCATGTTCATGACAAAGAAAAGAGAATTTAGAACTTTCCTAAAGAATTAGGTAAATTTTCCTATACTTCCATACTAAACTTCGATATTACTGTTGATGTTGTGTTTCTGAAATTTGTTATATTATTACTAAATGACGATGGAAATGATAATGTACCACACTAAAAATCTGAGACAACTATTCTGATTTATCCTTTCTTCCTTCCCTACTGAATTCTCCGCTTTCTCTGTTCATCTTCTTCCACTCCTTCAGCAATTCAACCAGCAGGGAAAGAATAACAAACACCTCCGACAACAGTCATTTCACTTGAATATTGCCCTGGAATCCCAAGTCATCACCATGCAGGACTTGCTTCGACTTACCCACGTTTGATGTTGTGTAACTCCTTGTCCTTGCCTTTATCCTTCTCCTTTTCTCGTTTTTCTTTCTCTCTGCCTTTACGTCGTTCTCTATCCCGAGACCGACTACGGGTTCTTCTGTGACTGGACCTTTCACTGCTTCGACTATGGGAACGTGGACGAGGTCTTGACCGGGACCTACAGCAAGCAGATTTTATTACATAAATTTAGTGTGTATTAGTATTGTGAAAAGTAAACACCCTTGAAAAATATCCGAATAAATTACTTAGTTTTAGTTACGGACTAGGATTTAAACAACTGTGTGAAGCAAGCATCTGAACGATTCTTTATGAATAAGTGCTCTGAGGTGAAATGATGCAGGTCGGAAACAAACGTGGCCAACTTCGGAGGAAATTAAGGTACAATGTAAACAAATGTGTTTGCAAATGAAAGTCTTGAAGGTTCAATTCTAGTCTCAATTATTCATGTCTCCTGGGATACAGATCAAAAGTATCTAATGTAATCCACAAGGACACAGGACAGACTTTCCCTTTCCCTATAACCTGCTTCCTTACCTATTCAACCTTATTTTTCATTGTTCAATATAACTATTCATCCACCCTAACCCCCTGCTTAAAATGAATGATAGTATTAGGCAGAATACCCTATGTATAAGAAGTAATGAATTCGGGTCCTATTTACAGTAATGACAAGAAAGCCTCTACCAGCCTGACAATCCTACAGATAACTATGAAACAAAAACACCTACAGTCAACCCTTCAATAACACAGGTTTGAATTGCCTGAGTTCACTTCTATGCAGATACTTTTCTTCCTCTGATACCCCTCAGACAACACCACCAACCTCTCCTCTGCCTCTTCCTTCTCAGCCTACTCACTGTGCGACAATGACCATGAAAAAGACCTCTGTGATGATCTACTCCCACTTTCCATAGTTGACCACCTCCCTACATTGGCCACATCCTTAAGTGATCTAGTTTTCACAGACCAAACAGTCACCACATGGACGCATCAGTACAGTAGGCCTAGTTCCTTACGCTGACCACCTCCGTATGTTTACAGTTTGTTACGATCTCTCAGGTGGTCAACTTACAGAGTTCTATTGTAAATTTTCTCTACCTCATGACTTTCGTAATAGCATTTCCTTTTCTCTAGATTACTTTATTGTAAGAAGGCAGTATATAATACATATCGTGCACAAAATATGCATTAATCAACTGCTTATGTTACTAAGCATGACAGTCAACAGCAGGCTACGTTTGGGGAAGTCAAAAGTTACACATGGATTTCTGACTGCACAAGGAGTTGGTACCTCTAACTCTGAGTTGTTCAACGGTCAACCATATATGAAGGCACCAGAGTGTGGCCAAAACCAGGCAGATTCTGGGAGACAACATTTAGAAAAAGAAAACAGCAATGAGAAAGTTACCCATTTTATCAACTTCTATTTTACAACAAGCCCAAATCTATGCCATATAGAACAGAAAATCTGCAGGCTTTCTGGCCCAAAAAACCAGAGGACAGACCCAGGAAAACTAGAACAACAGGCAAATGAAAGGGGAATCCTGTAAAAAGGTAAAAGGAGGGACCCCAAAATTCCATATGTAAACTCTATTCAAATCTCCAACTGAACCCAAAATCAGCACAGGAAGGACAGATGCTAAACAGCTAAGAATAAAAGCACTGAACCAACATTTCAGCTGTTCTCATAGAAACAGAAATGTTATAATTTTAATCCAACCAAGCTATTTTCTTACTAAATAAAAAATAAGCACAAAAATTAATATGATTAGGAGAAATATAATGGAGTAGTCACAATATGATATTCACCATGTCTAGGATAAAATCCAAAATTATTAGATAGACTAAGTAACAGGAAAAATGTATCCTATTCTCAAGAGAAAATATAGTACATGAAGAACCACCCTGAGATGAGCCAAATGTAAGAATTAGCAAATAAGAATTTTAAAGCAATATATGTGTGTGTGT